ACAAAGAAAGAAGTTGCTTTCACTTGGGGAATCGAACAAATTCAAGCGTTTGAACAACTCAAAAACTCTCTCATTTCATCACCTGTTTTGATTCACTATGATCCAACCCTGGAGACTCAACTTAGAACCGATGCTTCTGATGTTGGGTTGGGGGCTATCTTATTACAAAAAATCGATGGTAAATGGAGACCAGTTGCATTCGCAAGTAGACAATTAAGAGGCGCTGAAGAAAATTATCCCATTTCGGATAAGGAATGCCTGGCGATCATTTATGCGGTTGAAAAATTCAGACAATATCTAGAAGGTATTCATTTTGAAGTGGTCACTGACCATTGTGCACTTTGTTTTCTACGTTCGAAAACTAAACTTCCACCAAGGTTGATGAGATACGCGATGACTCTCCAAGCATTTGATTTTCAAATTATTTACAAATCTGGTAAAGTTCACGCCGATGCTGATTGCTTAAGTCGCTATCCAACTAACGATCATGAATTCAATCAGACACATAAGGATAATGAAGAACAAGGTGACGATCTGTTTATGTTATTATGTGTCAACGAAATAACAACAACTGAGAATCTGATTAATCAACAACGTGCTGACCCCTGGATAAATGGAAAAATCGATCAATTGAACAATTTAAAAGACCTCGATAATAAATCAAGAGAGAAGTTGCTCGCCAATCATAGAGTCAAAGAAGGACTTTTACAACGAAAAGTGATGAACAATTTCACTGAAGAATGGGTTACGGTCATACCAGAAGAATTTGTTCAACAGATTTTGACCTCATACCATGACGATCCTCTATCTGGACACATGGGGGCATTTCAGACGTATAATAAAATCAAGTCAAAATACTATTGGCCCAAGATGATTAAAGACGTTACTGAGTATGTATCAAAATGCGAATCATGCCAACTCAATAAAAGGGGATTAGCAAATTCAAATTCACCTTTAAAACCAATTGTTGTTGATGAACCTTTTGAAAAAATTGGGATCGATGTTGTAGGACCTCTCCCCGCATCTGCCGGTAAATACTACATTATCGTCGCCACTGATTACTTCACCCGCTGGGTTGAAACAAAAGCTCTGACCCGTACAACTGCTGAAAGTACCGCTCGATTTCTCATTGATCATATAGTGAGTAAACATGGATGTCCGAGGTCAATTTTAAGTGATCAAGGTAGAAATTTCATATCGGAAACTGTACAAGAAGTTGCTCGTTTCATGGCCGCAAGATGGCAACACTCTACACCTTACCACCCACAATGTAATGGATTAACCGAGAGAGTAAACCAAACCCTTTGTCAAATGTTGACTCACTATTGTGAAGAGAATCGTTCTAGTTGGTCTAAGGTCCTTCCTCTGATTACATTTGCTTACAATACAAGTCGTAACCAAAGTACAAAAATGTCACCGTTCTTTCTCATTTATGGTCGACATCCGCAATTACCCATTGACATCAAATTAAGCCCATCGGAAAAGAAAATGGAGCTAACCAAATATACCGAATTCATCAACAATCAATGGAAACTGATCCGAGATCAGTCAAAAATTTTTGACAGCGAATCAAAAAATAAACAAAAGATGAAGCATGATGATCAGAAAATTCGAATTTATAATATCGGGGAATTCGTATACAAAAGAAAACAATTGAAAACTGATAAATTGGATCAAAAGTTCGAAAAAATCCCTTACAAAATTATTGACAAAATAGGTGATACGACTTACATCCTGAAATCAGAAGATTCAAATCGAGAAATTCGTGCTCATGGATCCCAACTCAAGCCCAGAAATACATTAGTAACTGCCACGAAAACGCCAAACAAGAAGAATGTTGGACTTATCAGTCTATTACTATTCATGTGCTTCATTCCAATACAACCCTTTGAAACCGGATCGCCAGTGATTTGGCGTACAACTCCTCACAAATTCTTGAAAGGAAGAAAGTTGATCAATTATACAATCATAATGGCTAATCTTTGTCAACCTTTCGAATTTCCAAAGCCAAGTGGACTCCAAAAAGAGTTTATTACTTGCGGGAGACCCGTTACAATTGGTACTTCTAATTTGACTTATAATAATTGTTATAAAGAATTGTACCAGGACAAATGTAAACAATTGACCGACGCCATCTGTCTTCAATATTTATCAGCAGACGATCTCATCTATTCAATGAATAGATATTGTGTCGATTATGTATATGAATCATTCTCAAGGGTACTCCAAAATTTCAACAAAACATCGCAACATAAACAAAAAAGAGACTTGATAACTTTGACTTCATTAGCCATTTCCTCTGCCTTAATTATTGGAGTAAAGACAATCCACGATTATTTTTGGCAAACAACACCAATTGACACTTCAGAAGCTATACAGAAGTATAACAGAAAAATCTACAATGTCGTTGTTGAACAACAAGGTAATATGCAAAAGATAGCGGAAGAATTGATGAAAACTAAAGCAAGCATCCAAGAATATAAACAAATTCAACCATTTACAACATTTGCCGTAGCGGAAATAGTTTCTAATGTTCATACTATCAATCAACAAATTTATGGGCTGGTTAGAAGTATCAATGAAAATAGGGTCATACCACAATCATTCATAGATTATTTTGATCTTAAATTACCATGTGGAGAATTTTGTCCACTCAAAACAATGGAAAGGATTTCTTGTTCCCATTCAATTGAACCAGATAATCGAACGTTTATTCTTGATCTACAATTCGACGTTGCTGATTATGATGAAGATCTCACCGTTGAGAAAGTTGATGCTTTTACCTTAATTGTCCAAAATGGTACCGATGTTTGTTCAAAAAATTACATTGGACCTGAATATGTGATTGTCAATAAAAAAGGGGGTCCAATCTGCGGAATTACAGAAAAGGAACTAAACGAACAAGCCTTGATGTTTCATACTGGTACATTTTGTGAAGTAACTCAAAAATTGGCGTTATGGGAAACAAAAAATTGTGTGGAAACTACTTTATTCCAGATCAATAAACCAAAAATTAAGTTGATTGGGGATCATTTTTATGTCTATTGTGTTGGACACAATATAACTATGTTCAACTTCACTAACCTTTGTCCTAATTATGTGTTAAAAATTTCCACCACAATTAATTTCACGATTGGAGACTCTCCGTATCGAGTTACGGGAATTTCTGGTTACAATCGTCAACTTCCACTATCACCAATTTCAAATCAAATTAATTGGCAGCTACTACCAGTAAATCCTGATGAAATCACACTGAATCCAATTGATGTAAAAACTTTAGAAACCTTACTTATTCAAACTCAAGTCAAAAGAGTTAATCAAAAGACTGGGTGGTGGGATTATTTAAATAACAAACTAATTGAAATGGCCGCTTGTGTTATTGCCCTTTTGTTATTTATCTCCATCCTGATCAAAATGGTTCAATCATTTTTATTTGGGAAGAGAATTGTGGTATCGTCTATTACTCACAATCAAAAAAGATCAAGACGACGACGAGGAGACAAGGAATTGGCTCCTTTGTCAACATTTTATTAATATCATTTTAATTGTCCTTTTTAGTTTTTTGGTGTAATTAATGATTAGATTTTGTTTTATTTCAGCCCTTTTTACAACTGAACTGAGTTCAGAATGCCTCGAAGTATCGAAATAATTGATTGGGAACCCGTTAATGTCGCTAATCAACAGCTGCCAGAAGATTCCACCATCGAATTATCGCAGTTCTTTAATCAGGATAAAGCAAATGAATATACATGTAACCTTTGCTTCTATTTTGCCTATGAACCTTTCGTCCACAACCGATCATCGTGTAAGTTCATCGTATGCCATGAATGTTATCAACAATGGATTTCGTCGACTACCACTGGTAATTGCCCGTTAGCTTGTGGTTCTCGGAATACAATTAATGAAATGATAAATCTAACAGAATCATCAACGGAGATCAATGGTCGTTCCGCCAATGAATATCATGACTTGGAATTAAAATGCAAACGAACTGGCTGTAATACTTATCACAAAATTTCATCTTATGTTCAACACGTCAACCAAAATTGTCCTAAACATCCGAACTATTGTACTTCTTGCAACAAAGTTGTAAATGATGAACATCAATGTGCAAATTCCTCAACTGAGTTGAGTAGGAGATTACAAGCAGCTTTAAGAGAAATCGAAGAACTTCGTTCTTCAAACCAACACGAAAGGGTACAATATCGCCAGTGGATACAACAGCAACAACGGATTCGAAGGTTGCGAACATTTTCCAATAATGTTCGATGTACCAGAGAATATTCCCGACGATCTACCCGATTTTATGTTCAATGTGGAAATCGTGAATTACAAGTAAATGGTCTCTCACTGGATGACACCGGTGCTGATTTAAGAAGAGCGGTTGAAAGAGAGGCTGGACCAGTTGGTTCGATAGTCCGTTTTGATCATACGGTAATATGGGAACATCGGAGACTTAGACAATACCAGTTAACCCATAGACCCACTTTTCTAATTGCGCTTCCGTTGGATGTCACCATCGAAGATGGACAATCAATTGGCATTAATTTGGGTGAACTTGGACCAGGAGTTGATAAACAGTGGCTGTTTATAATAACGTTCGGGGAATGTTGGATAATTATCATCACCAAGAATCAATTGCTGATTAGGATAATTATTACCTTGATTAGCAATTGATTCAAGTACTTTGTTTTTCTCAACGATCCATGTCGAGATAAAGATGAGGAATTAGTATAAAAATTCAATTACCTGTTAGTAACAAGTTAGGTCTCTTAGAGACAAGTAATGTTTTGTAATTAAATGAAAAATATTAACCAATTAAAATTCTTATTCAATTTGTGAATTCGATTTGGGAATAAATACAGTGATTAGTTTCTAAATTTCTATAATAAGTAAGCGTAATCGTCTCATAACGATTAAAGGAATCGGACTATTGGTAATTTAACCGCTAATATCGACCCATTATTCAATACTGAGTAAGTACATTTATAAATTACTTGTTAAAACTTAACAGTGTTAATTGCTTCGGGAATTAATTCAATACCAGTTGATACTGGTAATTTGTTTGCCTTTGCGGTAATTATTTTACTTTTAATTGAGTTCAATGGATTTAACTGTTTTTGACCTTTCATGGGAAACTGTTGACCATTTCCGTTTTCTGTTCCTGTCCGTCGGTGAATATAACCCGCTGGTGGACGAACGGCAACTTGATGAATTTCAGATGATGAAGTTATCATTGGACCAGGTCCAGTTATCTGATGAGGAGATGATGATGCACCTGAAAGATGATGAGGCTGATGTTGATGGTGACCAATTGATGGCTGAGATGATCGACCTGGTGGTGGCCAAATTGGATGTTCAGGTGGGAATCGGCCAACGGGTGGATCAGGAAGAGGTGGAACTGGAAGTGGGGAAATTGGTGATTCGTAGAAGGCTAACATTACAATCGCTCCGACGGCAAGTGATATTGAGTTAGAAATCGAAAATATTCGAAACGAAAAAATCAGATTAAAATAGGTGATTTACAGTCAAATCATTCATTCATACATAGAATTCATACACTCAAAAGATTTAATTCATCTTTCAGAGAAAACAAAAAGTCTTTCACTTTAGGGCGAGATTAAGATAATCCTCATTCGGATTGAATTCATCTTTACGAAGAAACAAAAAGTTTTAACTAATTTTAAATTCGTCTCTTGCTCTGTTGAACTACATGTAAAATCATGATCAATAATTTTTTATTTCTTAAAATTATTAGAGCATTCGGACATGGCCGGGTCTGAATAAGATATTATCATCATAGAAATTTTATTTTTATTGCAAATTAATCAGCATACATTTCTGATCTCAAAAATGAATTTCATCGAAAATTCAAGATGGCGTCGAGTTTTGGCGCCAAATTAAGTAAAATAGGTCAAAATTTCAAATATCTCGATTTCAAACTTAAAAATATTCGAAAATGCCTGTTCAAAATCGACAATTTTTTTTCTATGGAATTCGTAACTCCTCATATTCTAAACGTAAAAAAATTTAATAAAAATTCATAATAGAAAAATTTTTATAGCGATTTTAATCGAAAGGGGGAATAGTTTTTATCAGATTAAAATCATGTTTTTTGTGAGTCCCATGTTAAAGTTCCCATAGAGAAAAAGGGGTAAAAACGGTCTTTTTTAGCCTGAAAATTGAACGCCATATTGGATTTTCTCTAAAAATTCATTTTTTGGGTTAGGAAGTTAGCTGATTCATTTGAAATAAAAATTAAATTTCTATCATGATCACAACCTAATCAGACCCGGCCATGTCCGAATGCTCTAATAGTTAAAATTCTATTGTGTGAAATTTGATTATTAATTTAATTGTTTTGATGATGTTGACAATTGATTATCGAAGCTGAATTGGAAGTTGTAATGAAATTTTACATGAATAGAGTTGTCTTATTTTCCAGTTTAAGGTAAAATTAAATCAAGATAATACAGGGCAATTCAGCTATTTTTACCGATGTTTTTTGCGATTTTCTCAGCAGGTCATTCAGGTCATCGGTAAAATAACACGTTTCAAGGTTATCTGAATGACCTTGATCTTTTGATATGACAAACAAATATCGCTCAAACTCATACCACTCAAGCCTCGTGTCTTTACGACTCTTAGTTGCTGAGAAAATCGCAAAAAACATCGGTAAAAGTAGCTGAATTGCCTTTTATAAATGAATAATTTTTTCAAAATTTTCGAAGCTCAAATACGACTGTGGTTTTTACTTAAAGGTCAAAATCGCAATTATCTCCATGAGAAGCTTATAGTGGGAAATTTAAAGAGCAGTTTATGTTAATTTTGGTCATGTTGAATCTCAATAACCTTACAGCAGATAATGATGAGCTCAGATATATGAGATAATAGATCAAAAAGATTAACTTTTGACAAAAAATTATGAGCCCAAAATCAACCGTAGACTTTTCAGGCCATTCGATATTTCAAGCACTTCTACAGGAAATTATGTGTTAAGTAAACAGGTTGAACAAATATTTTTATTTTTCGATGCAAGATTTTTATCTAGAGATTTACATTTTATGAGAATAACTTCAAACAGAAATGAGATGATTGTAACAACACAAAGTAATAAGTAAAGATTAATTAGATCAGTAAAATTAAAATAAGTGATTGGGCTGTAAGAGCCTTCGGCTCTAGGGCTTAACTCCTCGTAAAACCAACATCCGGGAAAGATACTACCATTGATACGACCATGGTAAGTTTTTCTAGCATTAACTGCGCCTTTATCACTGAAACCATGTTCAATATGTAAATATGAAGCTCTGTAAATCCATCGTTGCTTATTGCAATCAATATTCGTATGGTAAAAGTATGAACCCGTTTTCTCAAAATAGCGAACTTTACTAAAATGAAACAGGAAATCGTTTCGTCCATTTTTGAGAAATTCATAATTTCTAATATAGAGAAGTAGGGGCAAAGCATCCGCCTCTGGCCCATTTCAACTTTGTCCCTTCCCCCCTTTTACCTTTCCTTTCTCTTTCTTTCCCTCACCTGACCTATTCCTTCCCCTTTCTTAATTCTAATGTTTTCCTCTCTCTCTCCATCTCAACCTTATTTTTCCTCTCTCCATTCCATACTAATTATCTTTCCCTCTCTCTTTCCCAACCTCATTTTTCCTCTCTCTCCATCCCATCTTAATTATCTTTCCCTCTCTCTTACCCAACCTTATTTTTTCCTCTCTCTCACCCAACCTCATTTTCCTCTTCATCCTCTCTCTTTCCCATTAAACCTAATTATCTTTCTCTCTCTTTAATCATTAAAAATTTTGTTTATTCTAAGGTTAATTATATTTAATGATTGTTTAAGATGTTATAAAATAATTATCTATCCTCTTCCTAAATGATCAACAAATTTTTTAATTATCAAAGAGAGAGAAAGAGAGAGGAAGAGAGAGGAAGAGAGAGAAAGAGAGAGAAATATACTGGAAGAGTATAAAAACAAAAATGCTTTTCTCTTACCAAACAACATTCACTGTTGCTTTGGTAAAAAACATTTTTGTTTCTATGCTCTTCCAGTATATTTCTCTTTCTCTCTCTCTCTTCAAGTTTATTTCGTAAAGATAATTTCTTTATATATTGTTTAAAATATTTGTTTTGTTTTATATAAACATTAATATTTGTGTTTTTACATTTGTGCGTTGGTGTTTTTTTGTGCATTTTGTTAAGTGCATTTGTGTATAATTTTACATTTTGTTTGATTTAATAAAAGAACACACAACAACACACAACACTCAACACACAACACACAACACACAACACACAATACCGATCAATTGATATAACCTTATTCACAAATTTGTATAAAAAGCATGAGCTTTGAGTTGATTATCATCACTTATTAATTATCGATTAATTTAATCCACAACAAAAATAACACTTTTGCCTTTTTTCAAAGTAACAACATTAACTGTGAAAGTTTCATCATGAACTTCAACTTCATTAAAGTTCTCATCGCCATCATTGCCTTCATTGGGGCTGCTTCATCCATCGACCTGAGAGCTGAAAGAGGAATTTCACTCCCTGCAGATGGTTGAAACAGCAGTTGACGCTTTTTTATAATGTAAGAAAATTGATTAGATCGTTGATGTTGATCGTCATTAAAAGAGAAATTAATAATATTAACCTAATATTAATAAAATGGTTTGTTGCATTTAAACTTTTTGTCTCTTGTTTATTTTTTTCGTGTTCGTCAAGAATCATTGTCTTAAAATTATTTGTGATAAGTTTTGATTAAGTTATTAGTTCAATGGTACAAATACTCAAATTATCTATCAAATTTTTATCATGTATAGCGACTATTTTCAATTCTTTTTTCCAGAACTTAGCCAAATCGCTTTGTCCAGCAGTCCTTTGACCTTATCGAAGACTCTGGCTACCAGCATCCAGATAAGTTGTCAACTTGCTGACTTAGATTTTGAATGATTAATTCGGTTTTTCTTAATTGTATTAATACATAAATTGTAGATTTTAATTTATTGATTTCTGCTCTTCAAATTAAATCTAAATTAAGACTCGCTGAAACCGATGGATCCTCGTTATCCACCATGATCAGGTTAACCGTAAATCCACCAAAACTTTAAACAAATTGTGGTTCTATTGGAAGTGAATTAAATTTAACCAAATGCCACGACTTATTGGTAATCTCGACGATTGCTGGCTCACCGGCTGCAACTCAAATCGTCACCGAATCATTTTTATACGATCCCGCTGGTACTTCAGCCATTCTAAACCGAGTTGACCATCCATCTGATGAGCTAATACAAAGTCTAAGCAAACGATTTCTCAAAACAACAACCACGTCATCAATTCATACAAAATCTGCCCAAATACGATCTGTTTTTCATAATTTACAAAAAATTGAGTTCAAATGGATAAAAACTTGACTACTCTTAATTAACTTATTCTAATCTGAAGGAAAAACTCTGAATTATGGGTTGTACATGATAAGGATCATCTTGAGAAATTTTTTCGCTATCTTTACTCTCGCTCTTTTGATTTCGCTATTGTGACTTTCGCTTATATATCCTTCGCTCAAATGAGCCCAAATCATTCTAATCTGATGTTGAATATTTTCCATGTCTTAACTTAATATTTTTGTTTCATTTTCTAAAAAGGGTCAACACACACCAACATTTAACGATTATTAGATTGGGCACGAAAAGTCATTTAACAGCATTATCGATTAGAATAAAAAAACTTGAAAAGTTCTCAGAATTATTTGATTTCTTCGCTATATTCTATTAGATCTTATTTGTCATTACATTGTCTAATGTCATTTTTCAGTATCGTAAAATTTAAGTTCATATTTCCTATCGTGGACTTCGGGTAAGTAATGAATAATTCTCTTATTAAAGTTCTGTTCCAACTTGGGGAAGGAACGACCAAGGATAAACTCAATCTTATCTTCAGAAATCAGCTAGGTAATATTCCTGTGACGTTCGTTGAATTTTTGGATAGTGAGACCGATATTATTTCATCCGTCAGATCAGGTGAAGTTGATCTTCTTTATCCGGCTAAATATCTACATTTTTTCGACGGTACAGAGGTAAATGTATCAGTCGGACCTGTGGTTGGCGCTGACAGTTGTATCTTCATGAACATTTATCCAAACTCGTCCACTGGTCTAATTAACAAAGGAATATTATCATCACTTGAGATAATTGATGACTCGGTTCGTATCTTCATCACCCTATTCGCGGTTTTCGCTTTGATATTAAATTTTGCTCAATCTGATATCAGAAGTACTGATCAGACCAATCCAACCTTTTGCCGACCTTCGATCATAGAGTTTCTGTTGACCATCATCAAAGGTACATTCGGGTTATTCTTATTTTTAACCTGCTCTTTCTCAGTTTATTACATATTACATTTATTTTCGACATCATTCACAACACAAT